CTGGCTGCTTCATCTATTTTGATTGAAAAAAAATATTTGTCCAAGCCCAGTTCTGCTTTACCCACCGCATGTATTGATTTCAGGTCTGCTGGCGTTTATATCTCCAGAACAAATATTAGGAGAAACTCAAAAATATTACCATAGACAGGTGGCAACTTCTGCTGATGTACAGGCTCCAGGAGAACTTGAAAATAAAGGTGTACAGCAGTGGTTCTCAACCTTTTTAATGCCGTGACCCCAACCGGTCGTAAGTCGAGGACTAAACCGGTCCTAAGTCGAGGACTAAACTGGTCGTACGTCGAGGACTAAACCGGTCGTAAGTCGAGGACTACCCAACCGGTCGTAAGTCGAGGACTTTCCCTGCCCGGGAGCGCCGCACATGCGTGGTTCCGCCCCCTGCGCCGGCCGAGGCGTATCTGGCAAGTGGCAGAGACGGAGCAGGCCGACCACCAGCTGGCCCAGCCCAAGGGAGGTAAGGCACCCGCCGGAAAAGGGGGGAAAAATGGCAGACAAAAAAAAATGGCAGACAAAAAAAATGGCGGACAAAAAAAATGGCGGACAGCCTTGCTTGGCGACCCCCATGAAATGGTCGATCGACCCCAAATGGGGTCCCGACCCACAGGTTGAGAACCACTGGTGTACAGCAATAGGCAAAGCCAGTATGTTAAAGAAAGGCCAACTCAAAAGAGAAGTAAGATAGGGGTGCATCCCGGCTTACAGGCTCTTTAATGCGTACATCCAGTTTCTTGTAAATTAATTTGGTGCATCATCCCTCAAAGTTAGCCAATGTTGCAATTTTAATTGTATACTGATGATGTGAAGCTTCAGTGAGAACCATGAATTGGATTAAAATGAACTCTGGGCATTTTAGCCACTAATAGTTCTGAGGGAGTACTTTAAAGATAAACTATAGTAAAACCAACACTAGTTTTGGCAAAGCACTCAGAGGGAACTTGCTTTTTTTATTTTTTTAAGGCTGGTGACATATAAGCAAACTCCCTAAGTTCCTTGTATTGTACAATGCAACTTCAAGCAATTTTGTTCCAGGAGCAACAACTGATTGACTAGAGATTTAGTCTTTCACCCATTGTACCACTTTTAGGATATGGCAACATCTGAGTACCACCAGTCGCCTAGCAAGGTGTCAAAAACTTGATAACCAAAAAAAAAAAAAAAAGGAAAAAAGTGATAAAGTACAGGTAGTCCTCGACTTATAACAGTTCGCTTAGTGACTGTTCAAAATTACAGTGGCACTGAATGTAAATCACAAGACCCTGGAGATGCTGCAACATTCCAGCTGATCGGCGCTTCTTCTGGGCTCAGCAGAAGTGCCAGGATCAGTGCTGCTTTCCAGATGATTGGTGCTTCTTCAAGGCTCAGCAAAAGCGCCAGGATCAGCGCCAAGCTCCAGCTGGAGCCTGGCGCTGATCCTGGCGCTTCCGCTGAGCCCTGACAGCCCCAAAGAAGCGCCGATCAGCTGGAAAGCGGTACTGATCCTGGTGCTTCTGCTGAGCCCTGACAGCCCTGCAGCTCCAGCCGTCTCTCGCTCAGGCTTGTGCGGTGCTGCCACCGGTTCAGCTCATTCCTCTCCACTACCACTTTTCTAGGATGTTTGCGTACCACCTGCCAGGTGCCAATGTACCACAGGTGGTACCCATACCACTGGTTGAAAAGCCCTGCATTACATTACCCAAATTAGGTAACATCATCAGAGTCAGCCCCATTCTTTAGTAGCAATGATGATGTTACCTAATTTGGGTAATGAAACATCTTCAAGAAAACAGCCAAGCTTAGAGAGCAACAAGGACCCCTCAAACTAAATTTCATAAATCAGTAAAGCTGGATTTACACAGCTGCTAAGACATAATTCCTGGTTTTCAAAATATACTAGTTAACTTTTTGTAATAGACTGCCAAAATCAAGGAAGGTACATGGTGTTCCACCCATTTAGTTCAATCTACAAAAATCTCCAGGTCTCTTTCTTTTTCTACGATGGCCCAGCTCATCTACCTTGGGGTACGCAGCAGGCAAGAAGCTGGATTTCAACTGGCCAAATCCACTATAGTTTCATTGCCAGTTTGTCCACTCTTGCTTTAATTCAAGATTGTGCGAAAATGGGAATGGAAGGTATCTGCCCCTAAGGTGTGTTCTGTTCACTTTGACCTGCTTGAAGTGAAGAAATGGTTAGATCTGGAGAAGTAGACCAGACAGGTTTGACAGCTCACTTGCAACTCATCCCTTTGAATGAAAGACCAGTGATTGTCATCAGAGGTTGTTTTTTTTTCCCTCTTCCAACAATTAGTTCCTATTATTTTATACCTGTATTTCTGCTGACCTTCCCTCAGAAAGGAAAGACACTAAGAATAGCAATTCCTGCAACTTAAATCTAGCTGAAGTCAATTGGATGTCTATCGGGACATCAGAAATCTCTTACCTTCCATAGAGGTAAGCATAAAGGTCTACATTTCCTGGAGTAGGGAAAGCGATTTTCCTATCAGTTAGCTGTTTTTGGATTGGCACCATTCAATGAACTATAAAGAAACCCCAAGTAAAATAGAGTTGGCGGAGTGGTGCCCCCAGCTCCTGTCTCTATGGAAGGTGGTCTTTACACTTTTGCCTGACCTGAAATGAAGAAGCAAAGCATGGAATCCACAGCCATAAAACTTTATTCCTTGCAATAACTACAGAGAAATACAATAAGGGAACAACCTATTTGCTGTTACACAACTTGACTGCAGCCAGGCTTGCGTTTGCGCAAAAATGGAAGAGCAAAGAAATCCCCACAGAGGAAGAGTCACTATATAAAATATTAGCATGTGCGGAAATGGACAGGCTCACAATGGTATTGAAAGACAAATGTGGATCAATTTATTTCGAAACCTGGGATAAATTTTACCGCCGGAGGGATTTGAGGAGGACGGTTGGGATTAAAGACTAGCGTTAAGATAGAAATATATGTTATTTTAGAATAAGTACTGTATATAAAACTTACATGTATATCTAGAGATGAAGAATCAATTGTAAAATGTGGAATAATTTGATAAGAATGTATATACTGGAATGTCACATTATATCCAATGTTTTTTAATTGTATTATAAATAAAATTTTGTAAAAAAAAATAATAATTTATTCCTTGCACCACCAGTGCACAAAATCTAGGGAAAGACCACCAGATTTGCTTCTTAAAACGAAGTAGAGGGCAGTCACTGCTCTAAAATTTCTACTATAGAGAGCATCCATTGCCACTCCATAGAAACACTATCCTTGTACCTTTTAAAGCTGGTTCCATAAACGTGAGGAACACCCTTTACTAGAGGTGCTGTCACATTTTCAACTCTTATCAAAACTCAAAGCAAATCAGAACTAAACTACAAACCATTTTCTTTCCGAAGAAAATTCTCTCCCAAGCAAGAAAATATTTCCCAAACAATAAAAAAAATATTTTCTTTCCCAAAGAAATATTTTTTTTTTCACTGTTAGGGGGAAAAAAATAAACATCTTCAGGTGGAGGAATCTTCAATTCTAAATAAAGTCAGATACAATCTTTCCAATGGAAAGTCTGCAAAGTCATTAAGTGGGTTATTTGTAACTCTTTTAACCGTCCGGCATTGAGGTCCTAATCAGATCTACCTAGAAGAGGCATGAAAGGTGCTTAAAAAGGTGGCAATTTCGAAACAATAACGTGTTAATCCACACCTATTGCTGAAAGTTCTCTAAGGGGGAGTAGCTCTCCTTGAAAGGGAAGCCTGCAACAAACATCCAAGGTGGGAATCAGTCCCAATCCACAAATCGGTTAGGAGCTTACAAACGTTGCTATCGGATTAAAGATGCATGCATAATTGTATCGCTTCAGACAGACAGGCTACAATAATACAGCCCCTCCGAGTGCTTTTAAGTAGAAAGGTAACGGTGCTTGAGCGAGGTGGATTTTATTTCAAACTTTCCCATGGTTTCCTTTAAAAGCGCCCTGGGACCTTTCAGAAAGAAGAAAGGTCTTTTTTTGTGGCAAGAGCCCTCAAATTAAACCGAGGAATAAAAGAATAAGGAACGCAGGGTCCC